TCCCTGGCCAGCGGGTCAGGTGGGTGGGGCCTCAGCCGGAAGGGCCCGGAGACGGGGCAGTGTCTCTTGGCCGCTCCGCGAGCGCAGCCCGCCGTTCTTGCCCAGGTTCCCCAGCCGCCATGAGCCACGACGCCGAGGTGGACATGAAGGAGGTGGAGCTGAACGAGCTGGACCCCGAGAAGCAGCCCATGAACGCGGCGTCGGGGGTGGCCGTGGCCGTGGCCGTGGGCGGCGGCGCGGAGAAGAACGGCCTGGTGAAGATCAAGGTGGCCGACGACGAGGCGGAAGAGGCCTCCGCGAAGTTCACTGGCCTGTCGAAGGAGGAGCTGCTCAAGGTGGCCGGCAGCCCGGGCTGGGTGCGCACCCGCTGGGCGCTGCTGGTGCTCTTCTGGCTCGGCTGGCTGGGCATGCTGGCCGGCGCGGTGGTCATCATCGTGCAGGCCCCGCGCTGCCGCCCGCTGCCCCAGCAGAAGTGGTGGCACAAGGGCGCCCTCTACCGCGTCGGCGACATCCAGGCCTTCCAGCCCCGCGACAAGGGCGGCCTCGCAGGTTCGTGCCCGCCAGGAAAGGCCCCTGGTCCGCCCTCACCCCTCCCTTTGTTGAATCTGGGCCGGACGCCCGGGCTGGTCTCCCTCCACCCTTCTCCGACCCTTCCCTTCGAGGCCCAGCGCCGCCCTCCCCCTTCCCCTTTCTCTGTTCTGCCTGCTGCCTTGAACTGCCCCGTGCCACCTGCTGGTTTCAGAAGCAATGTGCAGCGCTCTTACATCAGCCTCTGAGTCATGGGCCCGGCTTCAGCCGACCCCCTCCTTAGGATCAGGGCAAGGGGGGCCTTGGTGGGGAGGGGTGTCTCACTTCTGCCTTCCTCTCCCTTTCAGGCCTGGAGGGGCGTCTGGATTACCTGAATTCCTTGAAGGTGAAGGGCATTGTGCTGGGCCCACTTCACACCAACCCGAAGGATGACGTGACTGGCACTGATCTGAAGCAGATCGACCCCACTTTGGGCTCCAAGGAAGAGTTCGATCGTCTCTTGGAGTCAGCCAAAAAAAAGAGTAGGTGACCAGAGTTTGCTAGGAAGCAGCTAGAAGGCCTGGTCTCTGGCCGAGGGGTGACAGAAAGAGTTTTTCATCCGGGTTGCTCCTGACTGGCTGGATCCTGGGCTAGTGGAGCAGAGGGAGTACGCGAGCCCTTGGGAGATGAGCAAGTTGGAGGGTTCCTGCTCGGCTGCACGGGGAGCCCGTTATGGAATGGAATTTCTAAAGAAGAAAGCCCAATGAAGCACCTCCTTACTGTTCTTTATAGAAAAACACTTGAAAGAGTTCGCTTGGGCTTGCAGGTGGGGAGCCCAGGCCCCCATCATTCAGCCTCCTCTCACACCTGCCCCATAGGGTCTTAAGGCCCTGCCTTGCTCACAGCTGTGGTCCAAAGGGTTTGGGTTTTGTTGGGGTTCCAAGCCAAGCTTTCCCACCAGGAATAGACAGGAAACATTCCACAGACCCGTGGGTGTTGGTTTCCTCCTTGCCCCCACTCCGGAGCCTCACACCTGCTGCCGCCTCCATTGTTTCAGGCATCCGGGTCGTCCTGGACCTCACTCCCAACTACAGGGGCCAGAACTCATGGTTCCTCTCCGCGCAGGTTGGCCTGGTGGCTGCTAAGATGAAGGTGAGCGGTCGGTGTTGGTGGTGGTGTTGTGTTGGTCTTTTCTCCGCAAGCCCCTGGCTCTTCTGTGGAGCGCCGCCCCCATCTGTCTGCCGCCCCCCCCTTCTTGGATTCCATCAGGAACCCATCCTCCCTTCACAGGAAGGCTGGGCCAGCAGTAGACGGCTGGTTTCCTTGTTCGCTCATGTGTCCTTTCCTTGCCTGGGAGGGTGACAGTAGCTGGAAGGGACTCACTCTCAGATGTCATTCTGGACGGATGGCTCGCCTTCCTTTGGGACAAGGAAGCCTTTCTCTGAGAATTCTGCCCTGACTGGCTTCCCGGTGTGTGTTTGAGGGTAGGGCTCCCTGTGGAGTTGCAAGTGGGGGGGCGGGCTTCCCTACAGCTGGAACGGCCCCCTGCAGATCTTACATACATTTTCCAGGCTCCCCTGTGGCTGGAGACAATGGTGTCTGCCATCATCTTTGATTTGCAAATGAGGACGTGAAGGCCTCTCAGTTGGTAGAGGCTTTGAAGTCCCAGGTAGTCTAATCTCCAGTCTCCCTTAGAGTGGAGGCTCAAACTCCACTGTGGGCTGGAGTGTGGGTGTGTGTTGATTCTGGGCTCCTCACTCACAGGGGATTGGGATTGGGATTAAGACTACCCGCACTGGTGCGCCCTCATGGGATCCATTGTTTTACATTAGCTGCTTTATGGGAGGGAAACGGCTCTGTCCAGGACAGGAGGGCAGTGCCTCATGCTGTTGTGCCCAGGAGCAGACTAGATGGCACCAAATCCTAACACCACTACCACCCACTGCATTAATCTGATCGCCTGTCACTGCTCCAGGACGACAGCTGGGTCAAAGAGCGAGCCATCACCTAAAGTGGACACACAATGAACCCATGAGTCCTGTAGCTCCCTGGGCATGGCTCCTCTCTTCTCTGATCCATTCCCTCATCTGTAAAACCATGGCGACCGTATGTCTAGCCAGTCGCATGCACGGATGTATTTTTTCTGTTGACTTTTCTCTGGAGCTGTCACCCCGTGATCCGCCTGAGGGAGGGCTTGATAAAACAACTCACTGCCCTCGAGTCCGTACTGACTCAGCTGCCCCACAGCACGGCTCGGACTGCCCCCAGGGGTTTCTGAGACGGCAGCTCACTACACAAGCAGAGTCTCGTGTCTTCCTGCCAGAGGGCGGACGATTTCAAACTGCTGACTTTGTGGTTAGCAGCCCAGCGGTAACGCTCCTGAGAGAGGAGTCAAGTGCTTGAGCACTCAGAGACTCCGTGGGAGCGAGAGTTGGAGGGATCCAGAGGTTGAGACCTTGGTCGTGGAGCTGGGGGGCCTGAGACCCAGGCCTGGAAATGACTGTCCCAGGCCCCCAGAGAGACTCCCCCAAAATTGATCGCTGGCTTCCCTTCTCTGACTCCCTCCCAGGACGCCCTGGAGTTCTGGCTGGAGGCCGGTGTGGACGGCTTCCAGGTCCGGGATGTGGAGAATCTAACGGTATGTGTCCTTCTCGGGTGGGGAGCAGAGCCCGGCCGAGGCCAGAGGCCCTGGTCACGAGCCTGCTCCTCGACTCTGCCTTTTCTCCACCCAGGATGCATCCTCGCTGCTGGCTGAGTGGCAGAACATTACCCAGAGCTTCAATGAAGAGAAGTGGGTGCCAGGCCCCTCCCTTACTCAGCTCCAGGGTGGGGGAACCCCTTGGTGGAGCGCCAGCCCCACCAGCAGTCTCTCGTTCCTACCTACCCCAACCCTGACTGCTGCCCTGCCCTCTCTCTGCAGGCTCTTGATGGCAGGCACAGACTCCTCCGACCTGCAGCAGATCCTGAAGCTGCTCAACTCCACCAAGGACCTCTTGTTGACCAGCTCGTTCTTGTCGGGCTCCAGCTTAGGGAAGGAACATGCGCGGCTCCAGGCCACCCAGTACTTGAACGCGACGGGCGATCACTGGCGCAGCTGGAGCGTGAGTGCCGCTGTGGAGGTGGAAACGGGGGCGGAGGGCAGAGGCCAGTGGGGCATTTGGGACCTCACCAGCGTCTGCCCCCGCAGGTGTCTCAGACTGGCCTCCTGACTTCCTTTGTGCCGGCTTCCCTTCTCCGACTCTACCAGCTACTCTTCTTCACTCTGCCGGGGACCCCTGTCTTCAGCTATGGGGATGAGATTGGCCTGCTGCAGGCGGCCATCCTTCCTGGACAGGTACTGCTGGCCCCGCACCCAGCACCACTGAATTCCTGTTCAGCCACGAGGAAGATGGTTTGGTGGGTGGCAGGCAGGCAGGCCTGAGCCCTGAGTTGGCCAGGGGTTGGATTCCTAGCCTGTACTGTGGTCTTGGGCAGGCTCTCTGTTCTCCCTGGTCGTGATAGATAGACTCTTAGGGATGCTCCGTGTTTCGACCGAGGTTAGGACAAATGGTGGCATAGTCTGAATAATGTTCTCAACGTGGCAGCCTTCAGGAGGGGGGCGCCCTTCTGAGGCCGTGCCCTCCCGAGCTCCCTGTTCAGTGAGGGGGTCTGATGAGGCGGGTGAGGAGGACGGGCGTCACACCACAGGGGGGTGAGTGTTAGCTGGTCAGCTGCAGCTTGGCACCCGAGCTGGTATCTGTAGAAGCAGTGAGTAGTCAGTCGTGCATTCCACAAATTTGGGGCAGCTTCTGCGAGCCAGCCACTGGGGGGACAGCAATGTGGGCCCAAAGGATTGGAGGTAGTGGGATGAGATGATTCAGCATGCTGACACTGACTCCTGGCCAGTGAGACTGTGTAAGGGGCACTTTGTGATGGAGAGTGGCCACTAAAAACGGGATGGGACAACATCAGGGCCCTGGAGGAATTGTGGTTTCTGGCTGGGCACCTTGTCTGGGAGAGGTGCCCTCGGGGCTGAGGGAACAGTGTGTGCAAGGCCTGAAGGCAGGAGCCTGCCTGGCCTGTTCTGTAGAAGGCTATTCAGGTACAGCATGACGAAGGAGGGGGAGGATGAGTCAGCCCCAGGCCCTCTGTGATTCCTGTTTCCACTGCTGCAGCCGGAGCAGGCCCCCATCATGCTGTGGGATGAATCCAGCTTCCCCAGCACCTCCAGCCCAGGTTCTGGGTCTGCAGACCTCAACATGACTGTAAAGGTAGGGCCCTGGCTGGGGGCGGGGCAGGGTGGGGTGGGGGAAGGCAGGGGAGGAAGTGGGCTCGTGGTTGACTGGGAGCCCTCACCATCGCTCTGTCCCCCTCTGCAGGGCCAGGATAACGTCCCCGGGTCCCTCCTCTCTGTGTTCCGGAAGCTGAGTGGTGAGCGCGTCAAGGAGCGCTCCCTGCTGCATGGGGACTTCCTTGAGCTCCCGTCGGGACCTGGCCTCTTCTCCTACATCCGCTGCTGGGACCAGAACAAGCGGTTTCTGGTTGTGCTTAACTTTGGGGACCAGAGTGCCTCGGCCAGCTTGGGGCCTGCTGACCTGCTCAGCAGCGCTGGCGTGCCAGCCAAGGCGGAACTCCTGCTCAGCACCCAGCCGGGCCGGCAGGAGGGAGACTCCCTGGCCCTGCAGCACCTGACCCTGGAGCCTCACGAGGGGCTGCTCCTGCATTTCCCCTATGTGGCCTGACCTCCCCTGGCCTCCCCTCCCTCCCTTTTTTTATTGTTAGAGATGGTAGATGGCTTCTGGGTTTGAGTAAAAGTCACCCCTGCCTAGTGAGGTGTGCTGTCTTCCTTTCTCTCTCGCCTCCCCTGGGCCTGCCTGGAGGTTCCGCACTCCCTCCGGCTCCGGCTCCGGCTCCGGCTCCTGCTCCTGCTCCCGCTCCCGCTCCCTTGTTCACTCATCCCAGGGAACCAGGTGAAAGCACCTGCCAGGGTCCTACCAGCAAAGCGGTGTGAGGCTGGGATGTGTCCACTGCCCTCCAGCTGAGTGGTCATCGGCCTTTTGGGGAGAAGCATGGGGTTGGGGTGTTCTGGCTTCTAATGAGTCTAATGAAGCAGGAGTGCGATGGGGCTGGGTGTGAGAGGAGTGGGACTCCTCAGGGAGCCGACATGGGAAGTTCTAAAGTGAGGGTGGTGGTGACAAGGCTGGTGCCCAGGGACTGCTCTCTGGGAGGGCCCTGGAGGTGGGTGTGGGGCTACAGCTGCACGGGAAGGGATGAGGATCCAGGTTTGCCAGAAACCCATTCCTGTGGGGTAGCGGTCAAACATACCTCCACTCTCAGGCCTTTCCCCCGTGGCTCACCAGCCTCTGTTGGGGCCACTGTTTCGGAGCCATGGTCAGACCCACAGGCGCTTCTCAGGGGCGTGAACAGGCTGCCGGGTACAGCTCTTCAGCCAGCACACCTCGCAGCGAAGAGCCCTCGGCGTGACAAGCCCCCCGCAGCTGCCTGTGGGCACCTGCCGGTCCCCTTTCGAAGCAGGCTCCCTAACTATTTTATGCCGTGGCCCCCTACTAATTGAGCAATAAGGAATCGGTTCTGTGATCGCTCGATGGCTTTATGGGCCCCCTGTGCATAGTTGACAGACTACTTTGCACCACCGATGGAGCCGATCGTTTTGGCAAGAAGCCCTGGGCAGAAAGGCCAGATACCACCCCTGGCACTCCGATGAGCTCTGGTTGACTTGGGGCTGGCGAGGGCATGAGGCGTCTGTGACTAAGAGGGAAACGAGTGGGCAGAGACCCCCACATCAAATGTCTAGAGGCACTGACGTCTTGAACCAGGATAAGGGCAGTCCACTGGCTGCGGGGTCCCTCAGTTTGAGGCTACGTGGTTTACAGGGGCTGTCCTTCGAGCAGTGGAGTGCCAGGGAAACAAAAGCATGGTTAGGGGCACATCGATAGATGGCAGTTGTTGGCCGACTCTGGTGGGAAAGGGTCGCGTCTAGATAGAAAAGCTTTGCTGCAGGGTACAAAAAAGACCTCAAATCTAAGAACAAGTCCCACGGGGCAAAGCCAGGGGCTGAGTTACAGAGCTGTAGGGGGTCATGGGAGGAGAGTGGAAAGCTGGATTGCCAGCAGATCAGTACATCACAGAGTGGGCCAAGAGAAGGGAACAGGAGCACGCGTGGGGACGTGTACACTATTATTTGAAGCTCACAAGATGGGTCCAGGGCCTTCCAACCAAGGCAGCCAAGACCTCACCCCCCAGTACCAGCCTGAGGGGAGGCAGCCCTTCCCTGAGCTGGCCCCGAGGGGATTGGAGAGGGTGACTCATGACCATTGCAGGGCCTAGTACCTCAGACCCCACCGAGGACACACCCGGACAATTCCCTAAGGGCTAGACACTGCCTCCCTGGGCTGCCTAAGGGAGTGGTAGCAATCCACTCTCCCTGCTGGAGGACGGAGCGGCTCACCTGGCTGGCTAGGGGCCAGAAAGGGTTCACTGGGAGTGGTAGCAACCCACTCTCCCTGCTGGAGGACGGAGCGGCTCACCTGGCTGGCTAGGGGCTGGCTAGGATTCACTGGCAATTCATGCGGAGACTCCTGGGTTTAGGGCTTTTCATTGATGGGATCTCACAATCCCAACTGCTGGCCATGCGATGTGCTCGGTAATCCAAACACCAGGGCCCTGATCAAGAGATCAGAAGCACTTTACTACTGTCAGCGAGTCGATTGGCGACCCTCAAGAAAGCCGAGTCCTGGCACAGCTGGCCCTTTCCCTTGCTCTAACGGCCTGAAGTCTGGGGAGGGGCCTCAGTGCCACCCAGTTTGAGGTGTTCTGGAGACAGTTCCCGAGAAGACACACCCAGCCAGTCGGCCTTTGGCCCCTCTGCCTAGGACTGACTGCTCTTCTCCCCGCTGGCAACCCCTTCCCTATCTGACTTGCTCATTCTGGCCTCCCTCCCTCCTTTCTGGACCCCAGCTCCAGCCCCTCTGACCCCATTCTGGCTCCTGCCCTTCCTGCCCACAGCTTGTATCAGTTGTCTCGGCAGATGCAGACGGAGCCTTAGCACATGGTGTGCTTTGTGGTTTACTGTGAACCATCACATTCTCGTAAAACCTGTCACCAGGCACCCCTGACTGCCTGGTGGGGACCTGGTTCACAGCTGAGGGCTCAGGGAATGGCAATGGCATGGCCTGCTCGCCCCCCATTGTGGGGGAAGCCTGCCTGACCTGAGTCATTCTTCCAGCGGCAGCTGGTATGCTCCATTGGGGACATAAAAAAACATCGAACCAAACTCACTGTCCCAGAGTGATTCCAACTCAAACGAACCCACAGGCATCCGAGATCAAGTGTTCATTTATTTATTTAAAAATAATTTCATTGGGACCTCCTACAGCTCTTATCACCGTCCGTCCGTCCGTCCGTCCATCCATCCATCCATTGTGTCAAGCACGTGTGTGCATTGGTTGCCATCATCAGTCTCAAAACATTTTCTTTCTACTTGAGCCCTTGGTATCGGCTCCTCATTTCCCCCCTCTCTCCCCCACCCTCCCTCCCTCATGAACCCCTGATACTTTATAAATTGTTACTGTTTTTTCATGTCTTACCACAGTCGATGTCTCCTGTCGCCCACTTTTTTGCTGTCCATCTCCCTGGGAGGGGGTTATATGTAGATCCTTGTGATTGGTTCCCCCTATGCCCCCCCACCTTACCCTTACCCTCCTGGTATCGGTACTCTCATTATTGGTTCCGAGGGGTTTATCTGTTCTGGATTCCCTGTGTTTCCAGCTCTTATCTGTACCTGTGTACATGCTCGGGTCTAGCCGGATTTGTGAGGTAGAATTGGGGCCATGATATTGGGGGGGAGGAAACATTAAAGAACTAGAGGAAAGTTGTATGTTTCACCGGTGCTCTGCACCCTGACTGGCTCGCCGGGACCACATTTTAAGGAGTAGAAAGCCCCATCTTTCTTCCGAGGAATGGTCAGTGGTTTAGAACAGCTGACCTTCTGGTTAGCATCCCATTATACCACCAGGGTTCCTGCTGGGGATGTAGAGGGGCCGGATTTGAATCCTTTGTGTTGGGAACAGAAAGGGGACTCAAATTCTGCTCCCAGGTCTGGTCTTCCCTCACTGGGCATGGAAGCAGGTGCGGAAGGAATCCTTGCCCTGAGATCAGGACTGAATCCCGCAGGAGAGCCGGCCCCTTGGAGCTGGAGGAAATGTTTAACCCGAGGAGAGCAGGCCTGCGTCTGAACCGAGAGTGGGGCTC